ACCCCGCCACGCCCCAAACCAGATGAAATGATACCCATCAGCGATGCTCCCGGCCTATAGGCTCCAGTACGGCGAGCGGTGCGCCCGTTACTCTTGCCTCCGCACTATGGTCCGTCCTCCTGGCGAGTCCTGGCGCTCGCCGGCCCGTGATGAGCGCCATTGCAGTTAGTGTATCGTGCGCCTGCACATTGGGAGCCGAGGGGGTGCACATAGGCTGGAACTGCCTGGCCCGTACGAATAAGTGTTTTGATACTGCGCCCCGCCGCGCCCCGCCGCGCCCCCTCCGCGCGCCGCCGTCCCGTGCCATCCCATTCCCCGTGCGCCTGCCTGGCCGGCCGGCCCGGCTGGCCCGGCGGACGGCTAGCTTTTACTGCGTCCACAATGAAATTGTTCGATGGCCGCTGCTCGGTAACGACCTCGGTAAGGGCTTAACGGTAAACGCCACGCTCTGGACGGCGACGCGCGCGACGAGGCTGGCCGCCGCGGCCTATTTCCCAAGTTCTCCTCTCCCGACCCATCCTATCCGCACCCATTTTCCACTTTCTCTCGCCCTCTCTCTCTCTCTCTCCCTCTCTCTTGTCGCCCTTTCCACCCCGTCAGAAGAATGCTAATTCCCTTGGCTCCCGCTGCCCGCCGCGCCCCTTTCCGTATATGCTACATTTATAGAGGCAATCCGCACCCTGACCGCAGAGCGACCGCCGCCCCGCCCTCCGCCGCCGCCGCAACGGCAGCAGAGATGAGTCACTGGGCTGCGGTGGGGGCGTGTGCGGGGGCCGCGGAGGGCCGGAGGGGGCCCGAGGGGACCGGCTGGCTTTTGACCCTTCCCAAGCCTGCCCTACTTCACCCGGAGGCGCCCCCTCCTCCTCCCCCGTCCTCATTCTGGTTTATTGTTTTGATTAAGTTTTTTGCAAATTTTTTAAACTTGCTGTTTAATCCGCTCCCCAAGCAGTTTTTTTGCCCCAGTGTGTCGCTGGAATGGAGGACGGTATATGATTTGGGTCCGGGAGCCCGGCCGCCGCCGGGCCGCCTCGGCGCAGAAAGACATTCTGCTGGGCCGGCGGGCCGGGCAGGCAGGGCAGTTATCTGTCACGTGAGAACCCGCGTCCCATGAGGTCCGCGGAGCCGGCGCAGCCTCTCCCGAGGCCTCTCCATGACCGGTTGGGCCGCCGATGGGATGGGCCCGCCGCCGGCCGAGCGGCACCTGTTGGACAGGGGCGTTCGACTCCTGCACGGCGGCGGCGACGGCGAAGGCGCCCGGGGAGGGGAGGGGGTTGTCACCCAACTTGACGACATCATCCGTAATCGGTCAGCGCCAGCCGGCCGTAAAGAGGAGCTGGCCGTTCTGCTCACCGACTTGGGACTTGATCGCGGGTTCGACTCGCACAGGCAGCGGCGTCGTCCCCCCCCCTGTCTCCCCTTCCCACCGTGGCCTGCTGCTGCTGGCCGATGGCCGGCGCCGTCTGGCCGGCCGGCTGGTCGGCTGCTGGCAGTGCATTTATAACAAATTATGAAGCGGAGATGGAGGGGCGTATCGCGGCGGGGTGGGGCCGGGCGAGAGGTCCTGGCCCCTGTGGTCCGGCAGCAGCAGCAGCAGCAGCAGCCCACCACGCCCCGCAGCGTCCAGGCGCATCCGGCTGCTGTGTGCTGTGCTCGAGCTGTGCCTCACGCCCCGACTTGCTGGTTCTGGTACAAATTAATGTTCGAAAATTCAAATGATCTCATCAGGTAGTTTCAATTATATTGGCCCACTGCCTATTGTATGCTGGTGGTACGTACGTGTTGTTACTCGCACCGAAAGCCGCTCTGCGTTCTCGTGCAAACCGTCCTTTAAATTGACCACTCTCTGGGAAACATTAAAGTGTCGACTAGAACCCCCAAGCATGGACATGACTTCTCTTCCAGTCTTTCGAGTGCGAGACGTCGATGCATCGATGCAGGCGGGCGGCAGGTGCTGACGCTCGCCGTGGCGGACCTGCTCCGCTCGCCGGACGCTTCTTGCCGTGCGCCTTTTTCTGATCAACAACTCTCGGTGCGAGGCCGCGTGGCCGGGCCGTCCCCCTGGACCCGCCGCGCCCCTCCCCCGCGCCTCGCCGCCCCGTCCTCTTCATTCAGTCCTCGATGCAGCAGACCAAGGCAGCATCGGTCGAAAAAACAAACGACGTTATTTTGATGCGGGAGCAGCGCGACCGGCCAAGCCTCCAGATGAAAATATGTCGGATAAAAAGTTGAGGTGGAGGGCTTCGGCCGGCCGAGGACTGCCCTTGTGGTGCAGCGCGGCGGACGGGACGACACCGCTGTGATTGAGGTGGCCGAGGCCTCGGCGCAGACCGGGCCGGGGCGCGCTTTCCCATTTTCTCCCGGCTTTACGGTTATAGCCGGCTCCTGGTGCAAATTGTGTAAAAGGTGCATTAATTGGGTCTCGGCTCGCTGGTGCCCGTCTAACGGACGTCGTGCCGTCCTTCTCAACCCCGGTCAGTGGAAAAGAGATGAGATGACAGATAGCGAGCTCCTGACCTCAACGGGGCTGTGGCGGGCGGGGCGGGGCAAGGGCTGGGCGCCGCCGGTGCGGCCGCGGGATGGTCCAGGGAGGCTGCGGGAAGGAGCTCGGCGGCGCTGCTGTGCCGCTGGGCTGCGCATCCTCGCTGCTCGCTGTGCAACCTCCTCTTCTTTCTTCTCTCCCTTTTTTCGCTTCGGCTAAACAGCCGGTGATTGTTGCGCCGTAGTTAAATGCCCGTTCGTTTATGGACCATAGCCGTTCGTGTCCTGCAGCCCACATTCTTAGACAAGAACAAGCGGCGGGCGGGGCATGGCCGCGGGAACAGTTAGGCCAATAGTGCACAGTCAGCTGCCGAGCTGAGGCGAGTCCTGGCAGGCAAAAGCGACCTGCATGCTTTTGACGATCGGCAGTCACTTTGTAATTTCCCTGCTCAGAGATAGGTTCACTGCTTTTGCTCTGTACGTTACACCTCCCGTGTAAAGCGACCTGCCTGGATGTGTTTCTGCTCGTTTCAGAGACGCGGCGCGGCTCGCCTGCGGCGGCTCCGCGGGGCCGCGCCGGAAAGTCGCTCTAATTCACGCCGCGCCGTAACTCACCACCGGGACTCATTTTTCGGAGCGCGTCTTTCACGCGACACGTTTTACAGGTGCGACGCGGCGGCGTCACGCGGCGCGCTCGAATTACTTTTGTGTCGGGGGGACGCGGCGGGACGCAGGCCCCACTCACGTTTGGGGCCTCCGCGGCCGCTCTCGACTCTTTCACGCGCGGCGGCAACAACAACGGCACCGTATCGCATAATCGTATCGATCACTAAGTAGTTCGATTGACTCGCTGCGGCGCGGAGCAGCGCTTGCCAGGCGCGCGTGGCGCGGCGTGGCGTGGCGGGGGCAGGTCGTGAGACAGGCCCCGTGTAGCAGTGCCATGTCGCAGTAACAATGCTACACTGTGGTGGACCGCCCCGCGCCCTGCGGTACCGCTCAATCACACAGCGCCTTGCGTGCCCTGGACCGCCGGCCAGAAAGGTGATGCCGCGGAGCCCCGAACGTTGCAGAGAGATGCGTGTGAGTGTGTTTCGCAGCCCGGTGTGTTATGAAGCCCGATGGAGCCTGCCCAGAGTGAGATAGCTCGCCCGCTCCGCCCCCGCGCCGCGTCCCGCGCCCCCTTGCGATGCAACAGTCGTGCGGGGTACGACCCGCGATCCCGCGCGACTGACGTTCGAGTCTCTCGCCGAGCATCACCGCGCCGCGTCTCTCTCGCACTCGCGGGCGGGGTGCGCGCGGATGCATCTGATGCAGCAGCGGGCTCGCGGGAGGGAATGTGCGCGGCTGCTGCGCGCTCACCGAGAAAATAAGCCATTTCATACTCGGCTGGACGGCGGCCTGCTGGGTGCAGCGGCCTGCAGCGGCCTGCAGCGGCGGCCACCGGCACAGCGAAAGTGGAGGTCGAGTCGTGGCGGGGCGCGGCGTGGGCGTCGCCGTGTCCACATCGCGACCTGACCCGGGCCGCCCTGCCCCGCCCCGCCACGACATGGGAGTGCAGTGTAAAAGCAGAGCAGCACACTTGGCCAAAGATCTCGGCTCCGTTTTAATGTCATTGTTACCACCTCGTCAGAGACGCTGCGCCCCCCTCTGGTCCCGACCGCCCGGAGTAAAGATCGGGTAAGATGAGTCGCGAGTCGGTAGGTGGTGGCGGGTTGCTGCTTGCGCCGCGCAACGCGAAGTGCTGGCCGTGTGACCGTCGGTGGGGCGCCTCGCTGTGTAAGCGGCACCCCGCCACGCCACGCCCCGCCACGCCCCCCGCACCAGATATGATTGCAGTCGTGACGGGGAGCGCGGCGCTGAGGTCGACCTCCTGGGCCTTTCTAACGCAACACGCGTGCGGCTGCGGGGGCGGTGGGGGGCTGCTGCTGCCTCACCCCGCGAGTGGCGGTCAGCTCGTAGGAGTCGCCGCACCCGCGGGAGCCCAGTGCTCGCCCGGCTCCCTCCCTCCCTCCCTCCCGGAGCCGGAGCCGCTTGAGGAGGCGTGATAATGACCCTGCGAGGCCCAAATATCGAGTGGGTCCCACAAAGCCCCC